GGATGAGATTGGGATAAAAAAGGGATTTTTTTTTAAGATTCCTAAGATATTATTTGATCTAATTATATCAAAATTAGCATACAGCATACTGGAAACATAGAAATTATTTAAATATAACTATTCTAATATTTTATTTTAGCAAAAAAGGAAGTTCATCCTTCATTCCTTTTTCTGAGTCTCTGGGCTATATGATAGTTTGTTTGCACAAGGTTCTAACCACTATCTTAGAGAATGAAAGAAATCGTGCCGCGACCATTGTCGCTCTCAAGTGCTGTGCAGCCCTTGTGCAGGCGACACCCTACCATAAAATGAAGGAAGGCCTTATTACCCAGCTTGTTTTAGCTACGAGGAAATTTTTAGTGCATAAAGGTAAGATAATTTGGATATGTTTTCCAAAAAAAAAACTCTAAGCATAATTTACGAGACGTTACGCATAATTATGTCGGTAGCCCAGCTATTGCGCCAACTCCACCGTTATCTTAATTATTCATTCATTCGCATTTTTGAACCTAATTCACCTATAGGTACATTCGTCCGTCATAGATTAAAATAAGTGAAATGGTACAGTTACAAATCGAGATATACAGATCAAAGATATAAAAAGAACTGCCCTTTTTAGCGAAGTTTGTGTAACGAATTGTCGATAATTATATCAATTACTAGCGACCCGCCCCGGCTTCTCACGGGTGCAATATGCATGTAGTATACGTATAAACCTTCCTTGAGAATCACTCTATCTATTAAAAGAAACCGCATCAAAATCCGTTGCGTAGTTTTAAAGATCTAAGCATGCATAGGGAAAGACAGACGATGGATAGCGACTTTGTTTTATACTATGTAGTGATGTTATTTTATTGGACAGTTTTCTCACAATTAGCACTTTAGTTTAGTATTTTCATAATACCACAACTATTCTTCTCAACACTCATTTTTAAAATGGTCACTTTAATTTCAGATACAACTTTACAAGTAGGTGCCTTAATAACAATGGGTTGTGTTCTATCCGTGGATCCAAAAGTCGATGAAGTATTAAAAGCAATAGGGAAAGATACAGTGCCTTCTAAAATATCTACTTCAATGAGTTCTACTAAAATTACATTTACTCCGCATAAAGTTGATGCAGAAGAATGTGATGACTTTGAAGAAGGGTATTCCGATGATGAAATGTTTACTGCTGAGCCAGTTATTGAGACTGGGGATGATGTAGAAGGGCATTACTTTAGAAGTTGGATACTCGATATTTGCTGCAAGAATATGGGCTGGGTGGTCAGAGGGAAAGATAATGTGGTGAGTTATTTTTCATCTGCTTTGAAATTTTTGAACTTACAATTATTGATAAAAGTCCTATCACCTAAGTCATCCCATAAGGGTATATAAATTTAATGTCTGGTAAACAGGCAGGGGCCTGTTTACCAGACATTAAATTTCATCAAAATCCGTTTAGTAGTTTCAGCGTGATTGACGGACAAACATTCAAACAAAGTAACTTTCACACTTATAATATTTATGTGATTACTGTGTTTTTAGGTTGTTAGGTTTACGTTGCTTTATTCGTCGTTTATCTATAACTATCTTTTACCCGCGGCTTCGCTCGCGTCACAAAAGGATAAAATATATAGCCTATGTGACTATCCATCCCTTAAACTACAGTTAAAAAATCACGTTAATTAGTACCTCCGTTCTGCCGTTTAAGACAGGCAAACAAACAAATAGCTTTCCGCTCGCGTGGAATTCGGTTATATCGCGCTATTTAGATTTTTCCAATAAGTAGGTAATTCGTTGACTGGTTTTAAATGACATACAGCGCCATCTATACCAATACACACAGCGCCATCTATACCAATTTTGGTTTTCCCTCGGAAATATCTAATTTTTCTGGGATAAAAAGTACCCTATTACTTAATCCAGACTTCTAACTTTACGTCTACAAAATTTCAAAGGTATCGGTTTAGTAGTTAAGGCGTGAAAGCAGAACAAACAAACAAACAGTTTAAAATCGGTAAGCTTGACGTGTCTGCGTGTATTCTTCTATTTTTTTTTATAATAAAAAAATTAAATTACAGGGAGTGAATATGATTCAGTTTAACTTGGTTTAATAATGGTGTGATATTTTATGTTATTTCTGATTAACGACAATTCAAGGATTTATTATCGTTATGAACTAATAAAGTTGTGATCTTATGCACTTAAATGATAATATTAGACAATTAGCCTATATTTTATAATATTATGTCTGACTTTAATGAAGTTTTTTAGCAACGTTGATAACTCCCGATCGCGGCCATTTCGCTTGTAAACTTTTATTGAGAACTGAACTCTGTTATCAAAGAACTCGTTAAAACCAGATTTAATTAATTAAAAATCCGGATTTTTTACTTTAGACCAGTTTTTTATCACAAATCCGAATATTACTGGATTTATATCGGTTTAAATTGTATTGTCATTGTAAATATTTTTTTCTTTGCCAGATAGTTAATTTGGTGTGCAAAGCAATTAAAAAGGTTAACATAGTATCAAATTAAAAAAAAAACACTTCATTAAATTTGTTTTCGTTGAAACGTGACTTCGTAAACACAGTAGTCATAGGGTACAAATTATAATGTTATGCAATGGGATGTAATTTTAGGTGTATTAAATATATTTTCCAAAACGTAGCAAAGTAAAGGTGCCATGTTACCATATTATCGATTGGTATTGGAGCATGGCTACAAGTTTTACTGTTATGTATTTTTTCTTTTCTTTTTAAATTAACGCCGCCCCAAACTCACAAGTTTTCTCCAGTGTCGTGGGTGCGTTCATAAAGATACAAGTTCACATACACATGACACCCAGACTCGGAACAACAATCTGTGGATCACACAAAGAGTTGTTCCGTGCGGGAATCGAACCCGCGACACGTTGTGCGGCAGTCAGTTGCCCAATCACTGCGCCAACCGTATTTATAACTCGCATCTATAAAAAGGGCGCATAACAACTGGTGAATAGTGGATGTTGCATAGAACATTGTACATTGTACATGTTCATCTACCTACTCTAGGCATAGGGTTCACACTTTTGGCATGTTACATCTTTATAATCAAATAGCTACTTCCGCGCGGTTTCACACGCTCTGCTCAGCTCCTATTGGTTGTAGCGTGATGTTTAATAGCCTATAACCATCCTCAATAAATGCGCTATCCAACACAAAAATAATTATTCAAATCAGACTTGTAGTTACGGAGATTAGCGCGCTCAAACAAACAAACAAAAAAACAAAAAAACAAACTCTTCCGCTTTATATAATAGTATATAAGATAAGATTTCAATTACATCATATCAGATACAAACACAAGACATGCGCTGCTGAACATAGGCCTGTCAATCACAATCACATAGCACTCTATAAATAAAATGGTCTACTTAAAGCAATCGATTGATTTATTAACAGCTATTAGAAGGTCATCGGCGACTCCAGAACGCAATATCTGCGTAGAACACTTAATGAAGAGTTGTCCTTGGACATTGTACACAAACAAAATTGATTTGGTCGTCACAGACGTAATATACGCAGTAAACTTGCATATATAACATAACTATGCAACACCATTTTTAACGTTGAGTACCTCAATTGCTATGTTTATGTTTTACGCCATTAAAAAAAAATTCACACTTTTTATTGTTCTGGAAATATTCGTGGGGAGTATAAGTCCAGGGAAGATTTAAAAGGCGAAAAAAAATGTAGGCGGTACGAGGTTTGCCGGGTCAACTAGGTGGTACATAACATAACATAACATCACGTCTTTTATCCCCGAAGAGGTAGGCAGAGGTGCACATTATGCCAGTGTACAATCAAAAGTCCATTGGCAAGAAATATAAACAGATTTGCGTAGGGCGGACAAAACAGAAGGTGTAGCATTCAATATCAGTGGCCATTGATTTATTCACCCTCCCTCGGATGGACTACAATGTAACACCCACTTATCACTATTTATGTCATGAGTCCCATGTAATAGGGGGTGTCCCTATTGCCATACCGGGCACAATTCCAGACTCCGACTGAGAATTTTTTTAAAACCCAGTAATTCTTTGCCCGACCTGGGAACCGAACCCGAGACCCCTTACCCGGCAGTCGCACTTGCGACCACTCGGCCACCGAGGCAACTAGGTAGTATTAATCCACATAAAATAAATTATTACAGAGAATAAAACCGTCACTCATCCCCGTGATACTGGAGTCGTTACAAGTGCTATCAGCGGCAGCGTTCCATTATTTAGAAGAACTACTGGACGGACACATCACGCTGCTTGGCGACATCCTCAGCGACCTGCTGCAGCATGAGCACCAGGACGTGGTGGTACAGACTGCTAAAGCTATCAGTATTATCGGGGATGGAATACAGAAACTAGGTAAGGACTAACACAAGGATTTTGGTATACTTGAGTTGTTAAATACCTTGGAGACACGAGCTCTGAGAGAAATCTGGATCCTATGTAATTAGTGACTAGAGTATGGTCGACACTTACGTATTTAACACGTTAACTACCGCGTAGGTCACCGGTGACCTACGTTAGCGGAGGATTTGCCTTCATTTTTTTTTCTGTCAGCAGTCAAAGGTTTAAATCGATATAAAGTATTGCATCTTTTTTCAGATGTTTATCAGTAAATATTCAGTTTCTATTACAGAATTCTTGAGTTACACAAAATACTAATATTTGACTGATCAGGTTTAGACTCAAGCCAAAGAAATTATTTACTTAAAATTTTTGTTTACAGAACTAGCCAACAAACCACCTCCTCTGAGTCATTGTATCTACATGTGGGAGAAGCTAGTGACACCGCTATCTACAGTACTTCAGTGCCACGACATGAGCCCGGCTAAAGCAGTAGTATGCGACTGTATCGCCAATATTGGGGAGAGAACGTTCAAAGAATTACCTGTAAGTATTGTTAGATGTCAGAATTGTAATTAGCTTTTTGGGATAAGGGAAGTAATCGGCGCCGCCCATGGTCACCCGTAACATCAGAGAAGTGACAAGTGCGTTGTCGGCCTTGGAAGTGGAGGGGGGATTGGGATCCCGTTACCTTATGCACACGACAAAACAACGCAAGCTTTTTTTGTAAGACGTTAATTTGAGAACTAAATTCCTTCGTATCATATTTTGAATCTAGTTAGAAACGAATGTACTACCAAAAATTAACTGGACTTTATGTTTTTATGTTTGTATAGCGTCATCTGCAAGTGCTATGCTGCACGCTTCTGATCGGTTCGTGCAGTGACGAGGAGCCGACGGTTCGCGCCGCCGCCGTGCGTGCGTTGGCTATGCTCGTCATGTACAGAACTCTTCGAGAAGTAAGTACTTAAAGATAATCTTTTGATCTAGCTAATTTGGGTTTAGTTAATGTTTTAAACGTTGCCCCCCACAATAGGATTTTCTCCTGTGTCGTGGGTGCGATTACAAACATACAAGTTCACATACACATGACACCCAGATCTGTAACAACAATATGTAGATCACACAAAGAGTTGCTCTGTGCGGGAATTGAACCCGCTAGACGTTGCGCGGTAGACATTTGGCCAGCCACCGCGTCAACTGAATTCGTGGGTTATAAGAAATTTATGGTGCATTGTAAAACTATTTTTGCCTTGAAAGTCTTCACTTTCAAGGCAAAAAAAGGAGATATTATCATATTAACCATAATATGATAATATCTCCTTTGCCTTCAGAAAAGTACCAACTTTTCTTCAATATTTTTATACAATTTAATACCTGTTAAAATATGTATCCATCAGTTTTATGAAAACTACACGAAACTATGACGTCATTATTTAATGTCACGATTCAAGAAGTCTTCGTTACCTATATCTTAGCATAAAATATTGCATTAATAGTGTTAATTGTTACGTCATACGTATTAATAATGACGTCTATGACACTTTTAGCTTTTTTTACTAAGATGTCACAATCACAAGGAAATCAGCGCAATATGTCAACAGTCAAACGTGATTTATTTATATTAGTCTTATATAATAGCACTTAGTTCTATGACGTATTACAATAAGTGGTGACACCCAGACAAACATTTTGTCACGAAATTAGGTCAATTGGTCAATTGAACCCTGCTGTGATGTTGGTTGGTCTTTATCCTGGTTTAAATCAATATCTTAAGCGATTTAAGTATTGTTGATTGATAGAAATAGTTGAGAATTGATATAGTTGTTTATAACTGATGAAGGGTGAACTTCTGTCAACGTCTCCAGTGGTTGAAAGGTGTGTGTAGTATAGTTGGAAATCACAGAGTTATCAGTTGTTATTGATGGTCTCTGGTGATTAATTACTGGGTTTTTTTAATAAGAACTTCGTAATAACATAACATCAAGCCTTTTTACCGACTTCAAAAAAAGGAGGAGGTACTATGTTCGGCTGATTGTTTTTTTTTTTTGTTTGTTCGCGCAGTACTCCGCCATTTGTGAACCGATTTCCAAAATTCTTGTTTTGTTTGAAAGGGTATACTCCCGAGATGGTCCCATTTCCATGAGGTCAGGATCTGATGATGGGATCCTAGGTAAACCGAGGGGAACTTTCGAAAATTCTATGGGCAAGTAATGCGTCTATTATGTTTTTCAATTAGGATTTTGAAACACTACAATTTGATAAGGGTCTGGAGTTGACCTGATGATGGAGCCGACAAGCAGTCGAGGGAACTCCTCAGAGGTTTATATTAACTACCTTGAGTTTGGGCTTGATTAATTTGTATTGATGAGGACTTTACACCTAGATAGAGTGGAGCTGTCATTAAGGGTCTGATGATGAAGAAGTGTAATTGTTAAGGGAACTCCTTAACGGTAAACAGTAACTACCTTGTGTTCGGGCTTGTATAATTTGTATTGATTAGAACTTTGCACCTATGTAGATTATAAGTAACAAAACGGGTATAATTATGTAGCTTTACACTAAAAATGATAAAATAATAAAATAAAAACTGCGTTTAAAAAACCGACTTCAAAAAACCAAAAACTAATAACAAACAAAAAGTCAATACTAAAAAGCAAAAAATAACTATTATTAGTACTGATAGGTTACCCACCCACTGATAGGTTAGAAGTCGGTGCCATAATAATATTATAATGATATAACTTAATGCCCACAAAATTGTGAATTAGGTACCTATTAAGGTTTTAATGAATAATTTTGTATGGAACTTATGGCACCGACTTCTTACCTATCAGTGGGTGGGTGACCTATCAGTACTAATAATAGTTATTTTTTGCTTTTTAGTATTGACTTTTTGTTTGTTATTAGTTTTTGGTTTTTTGAAGTCGGTTTTTTATATCGCCAAAGGGTTAGGCAGAGCACATTACGGCACTTAATGCCACTGTACAATGTAACACCCACATTTCACTATTTATATTATTAGTTCCATGTAATAGGGGGTGACCAATGACCATATTACCATATACCGGGTATAATTCCAGGATTCCACAACTGAGATTTAAAAATCCCTGCTTTGCCGGACCCGGGAATTGAACCCGAAAGTCCTTGCCCGGTAGTCGCACTTGCGAACACTTGGCCAACGGGGCAGTCTTAGTAATATAATTAAAAATATGACTCTCGAAATCGAAAGTTAGCCCGTACTTTATAGTCACATCTGCTATATTCGACTAACATATTATGGTTTTTTTTTTCTTTAATTTGTTCTTGTATTTTGTTCCAGGATATTTGCTTCGTGAGTGACTGCGGTGAGAATGTACTGCGTGCACTGGCGGAGCCGACCATGGTTGTTAGGATCAAGGGAGCTTGGGCGCTGGGTAATCTTTGCGATGCTCTCGTTTTAAACTTGTAAGTTTTATTGTAGTTTGTAGTTAAATATAGACTCTGTTTATAGGTCAATGTGGTTGAAAATTGATGTCTGTTGACATCTTTAAATGAGTAGGCTTTTGCAATTATATCCGTGTAACTATGAATTTATAATTTATGAATTTGCAAATCACAATAAGCAAAGGCTGACTGACTTCAGCGCGTCTGTATGTATCTGCTAAAAATACATACACGGGTGATATTCTTTCTTCAAAAATAATTTACATATATACATACATAACTTCACGCCTGTCTCCCATGGGGGTAGGCAGAGACTATGGAACGCCAATTACTACGATTCCTACATACTTCTTTCATACATTAAAAATAATTAATGTTTAAATAATTTGGGAGCAAAGTAAAACATGTAAATATATTTATTAATATTATCTTTACGTCATAGCTCTTCTAACATGAAATAGTTATCTAATAATTTAAAACAAGTTCTAATAAATCTAGAACAAATAAAAATTCTTCTAAGAATTATAGACCGTAGACGTAGTAATACCTACGTTATATTTGCATAAGATAATGGAAGCTCCCAATTTAATGTCAAAGATCACATACGTCACAGTCTTTGCTTTGCTTGTGGTCACACGATGATATCTATATGTTGACTAGTCTTGTGTATAGTTCACATACTCGATTTCTGTAAGGTCAGGTAGGTACTCACTTCCCCTTTCAATACCTTTTGGGTGGTATCATTTATAATGAATTATCACTTGAGAATTAAAGGTACTTAAGTTTCGGGAAATTTTAAATCATTTCGCGTGTTTCGCAATAAATATGCCGAGGGTAAAATGGTCTGCTGTATTTGCAGCTCAACTTAACTCATTAGGGGAAACTACGGTTTCGGTTCTAATGCAATAGATAGAGTGATTCTTAAGAAAGGTTTATATGTATAATATATGCATATTACTCTCGAGTGAAGCCGGGGCGGGTCGCTAGTTTAAAATAAAATTTTTAAGTAAAAACGCGGGTTACTCACGTGAATATACTGCGCGACGTCGCCGCGACCGCGCACGCTGCTCATGAGGAAGAACCCCTCTGTGGTTCGAAACTAGTAGAGCTTTTCTCAGTATATTCACGTGAGTAACCCGCGTTTTTACTTAATTTAGTATGTCTCACGATAGTTATTATAAAAACATAAAATTTTTAGATTAAAAAGGCGTTCTCTCTGTTTAGAAAATGTGCAGTACACTTAAATAGTCTTTAAAAACCTTCTTTAACACATTAAACGCCATGGGGGTCACCGGTGACCGACGTTAGCGGAGGATTTGCCTTCAACAGTTTTTTATTGGCAGTCAAGGCCTAATCAAATATTCTTCCTTATGTTCTAACATATGTCATCTTTATGTATCAGGGAGGATCCGGAATGTGACGACATAGACGACAACCTCCTGATTCGCCTACTCGACGCTAGCATACAATGCGCAACGGACAACGATAAGGTAACACTACCGGATATTTTTAATATCTAGCAACAGTACAGATGTCAATCCTCTTATCACGTACGACTTGCGTCTCTGCATAATCATTCGTGTTTTGAATGATATTTCTTTATAAAAATAATACAATCACGTGCATGATTCATGATTGTTTAGGCTGTAACATCGTCATAAACCTAAACGGTTATAGGGTCACATTTATTTATAAAACATTTTAGAATGTCTGTCTTACGCTTGACCTTTATCATCTTGTACTGCGCTCCCAACTTGCGTGTTAAGGTCTTAACCTTTCTTGGTTTAATTTTGACAGTAAATAATGCAATAAGGGTGCGTTACTACAATTCAGGCTCATAGACTATACGATTGAACGCCTACGTTGTCCATGTTACGTGTTCAATGAAAGACTTAATGGTTCGTACTGTTCGTTCTAAATACGAGTGAAATCCTAGTATTTGATTCACTCTGTGACTACCACAGTTAAAATAACAGAACTAAAATGTGCCAAACACGTAAAAGTGATGAATTTAGGAAAGTAATTAATGCTATAAAACAACGTTGATTTGTGTTACCGAAATGACTCAAAGTTAAATTATTTACTTCAATTATACTAAACATTACGCATTTTTCGAACATCAAACGAAATAAATTAAAAACTTCACACAAATTCGAAGCTCGACGTCGAAAGTTTTATTAATGTAGTGCGGTGGTCAATAGGTTAATAATAAATTACGTGTTTAGAAAATAAAACAAACATATAAAAACTTATTGCGCCGTTTACAATGTTAGTTAATTGACTGATATCGGCGATAAATCATAAATCACCTCAATGTAAATATGTGATAATGAGATCAAGTGTTGTATTACTGAAAGTAATTAAATCGTACTTAGCACATGCTGTATCTTTGAGGCCCTTTCTGACTACACTGAACACAATTGGGAGACTTGAAAGAATATTACAATGATTGCGCAAATTGCGCAAAGATTTGCGCAAAACTTGTATGTCTTTTTAGGGAAATCAGTACAATAGCGTATAAGTTGAATTCTTATAAATAAGTAACCATTTTATTATTTGTAATTTGCGCATATTCGCTCAGGAACTTAATAGAATACATAGCGTGTCATACACATTTTTTAGAAACGGTTCCTCTTCTCTTGCAAATAATTTATACAATATCAACACAAATAGTACTTAATCATACTGTTAAGTAAACTAACTAGCAACATATATCTGGATTAAAACATTTATCTAGTCTTTGCCGTTAATTATGTTCTATGTAATATAGAAATAGCTAATCTCTGGTCTCGGGTCAGTAAACCGACATAAGGTCCCTACCGCACGTGGACAATGTCATAACTGTGACTCGTACTAATGATAGTAAAATGGTCGTTATCTTATATGTATGAGTTATGGAAAGTTTGTAGTCTGTTATCCATTCCATACAGGATGTGCTTTTGTACAGTTTATACTTTGTAATATACATTTGAAGTTAAAATACCGCTTATAACCTTTTTTGTATTTCTATGTAGGTTGGATAAAAAAACAATCTGGAAAATACAAAATATATTATTTGCAAAAATAAGGCAACAACTGTGTAGCTATACAACTGCTGCATGTACTTAACGTTAAAAAGGTTAATAACCTCATAAGACCAATCAGAATAGAAAACTACTGAAAGATTACATATTGTTCTACCTACGTGTTTTGTTTGACGTGCTAATGTTATTTTCATGATTTTCCACTGGAGGTGTCAGAACCTAAAGTTCAACGACCTTAACACAGACTCGCAATATAGGTTACCTTGAAACCTTGGAAATATTTCTTTAACGATTAATTTTGTTTATTCTAAGGTGTTTATAAAGATTTTTCTCTACAGATAAAAATGAGTGCGACACGTGGCCTTGGAAATCTACTGCGTTTGGTAAAGAACGAGAATCTAGTCAGGAACACGAAATTAAAGACCCTATGTGAGATAGCAATAGGGAAGCTAATGGATTGCGCGTGTAAAGTGAACAATATGAAAGTGCGATGGAACGCGTGCTACGCTATAGGGAATGCGATGAAGAACGAACAGCTGTTCACTTGTTTCAGTGGGTGGCAGGTAAGACGTCGATTCTTAATCTAATTAAAATACTCATGATTCATGAAATAAGTCATACTCATTGAAATAATTTGTTAAAATTTTATTGCCTACTTAGCAATCAAGGGGTTTACAGTGGGTCTCTAGTTCGAATCCTGGAGCGTAGAAAACTATTTTGGAGATTTTGGAAATTCGCACTTTCTCCGCCTCATATTCATATTTTGACCATATTTACCTTTCTCTCTCCTATACCCTTGTTTTTAGTATATTCCATGTCACTTGAATTTTAGGAATTCTACTATTTATTCCAAAACAGATTTAAAAAAAAACTGATTAATTAATTTCATTCAACAGAACCAAGTCTTCTCCAGCCTGTGTTCTTTGACCAAGGAGTGTAAAAACCTAAAAGTACGTATAAATGCTGCGGCGGCACTACGCGCGCCGAGTGCGCGTGTGCACTACGCCGACCACTACGCACTCGTTTGGCGGGACGTATTAGCTGCTATGGAGAACGCCGCTGACGTAGATGACTTCAATGAATACAAACACAAAGATAATTTAATTGAACAGGTGAGTTCGTATTGTTTGATTTCTGTTGATTATATGTAGTTCGGATTTTGATTACTTTACAATAAAGTGGAAAATATATTACCTTTAAAGAATTTAAGCATAATCTTTCAGGCTACTCATAAGTCTATTATTAGTTGATTACAATAATTATGAGAACAGATAACCATTATATGGGTGGGTTGGTCATTTCTGATTGATGACGAGGTTCCTTTTCAGTTCTCATGAAACTTATATACTTGTCACCCTGTTTTTTTAGGTTTTGAGCTTCTCAGTTGTAATAAAATAACAAAAAGTATTGCATGCATTGATATTGATTTGTATTTGTCTAAGTATTGTATAATTACAGACCCCTTTAGGGAATAATCCATTTTAACCTAAAACTGTCCTTTGTTACAGCTATGCGTAACTCTAGCCCACCTATGCTGCCTACTAACACAGGCTGACTTGGCAGACATATTGGATCCTCTAGTCTTCCACTATGACAGCGCTAAGGCTACGTTCACACAAGCCTGTCATAAGCTACCTCCAGAGAACGCATCCTGTTTGAAAATACTTCAAGCGGCGAAGTACGTAACTGTTGACCTAACTGCCTCTAACGACACGCAGATGCAAGCCTTAAGTATGTTACAGGACATTTTTATATGGGACATGTAATATATGAAAGGGTCTTTATTGTGTGTGTAATAAGAGCGATTTTTGTAGTTCGTATGCGAGGCTGATGTTTTTAGAGTGTATTATATGGAGTATCGTCTATTAAGAGTGGTCAATGGTAAGGGAATTTCTAATTATTCTTCCTTTTCATTATGCCTAATGCATCCATAGGTACACACTGTTATCAATTACTTAATTTAAGTAACATATGTTTTTAATTTTTATATAATACTAAACTTGTATTTAAAAATCGGAGGTGATAAATGCTGATATTGGTTGAAGATCTCACTCATTTTTATAACTGGCAACACTTCAATCTTAACATGTGTTGCTAGTAATTTAAAGTTTTTAAAACGTGATCAATGATACTTCATAATGATTAAACGTTATTTTAAGATATGCACAGCAATCTATATTTAAATATGTCACAATTCTAGAGTAACACAAAGTTTTATATTATAAAATGATAACATGAATTTGAGTTTAATTTTAGTAACATTTGTGTCTGTTATCCGTTTATAGTGAAGAATTGATGGTTAAAATAAATGTATTATAGCAAATAACACTTTGTAGTTAATATTGCCAATTAGAGTTTAATTTAATTGAATTTATTTGTTGCCTTCTATAAGTCACTCACCGTGACGTAGCACTTAAACTAAATCCTTGTACTGTGATAGTTAGGTTGGTGAAAACCAATATGACGCTAACGTCATATTGGTTTAGACACCTAAGTGTCTATCTTAGCTTAGGGCATTCTTTGTTCAGGAAATGTTGGTAAAAAGGGCCTTAGCTCCCATTATTTCGGACCACCACAGATGAGGCCCAGTAGGGTTGATGCCGAATCGAAGCCGCGGAGGACTTAACGGGTTGTTGAGGCTCCGGCTCCGGAAGAGCAGAAGTAGGAACGGGGTGGTTTTTGGTAAATAAGAGTCTGATACTCCTTCTCGCCTAACCCAAGACGGGAGATGTCATTGGATGATTTTCCCCTCTCAAAAAAACTCCTGTAATTCAAATCTGGTTAAAACTAAAATAGGTAGGCAATTGTGCTACTTTGCGCTATTTTTACCTTATAGCGCAAAATATTTTTCTTTGCGCAATGTCACGTGTAAGAAAGCCACATTCATTCTTAGTTTTATATTTGCATAGTAAATGATGCGCTCTTGAGTATTGTTCCTATAAAGTGGAATATCAATATACGAAATATTACTCATTAACTATGTAAATGTAAGCTAATAATTATTATATTACGCTTTAGTTATGATCTGTAAACTGATGATTGTTGACCTTTATTTATTGATATTGTTTATTTTTTATATTTACCAATTAAATAAACTTTATTTAACATTTTTTGTTTTATTGTTTGAGTACTGATTTCTACTGTTTTGTATTTTAAACACTTACTTTAATAAATGCTACTAACTTTGTCCTAAGTTTTTTTTCGCACCCATTTCGGTCTTGGCTTTGTATTTGTCTTTATTGATTTATCTTTGCCTTATTGGCCGAGTGGTTACAAGTGCGACTGCGACGGGTCTCGGGTTCGATTTCTGGGTCGGGCAAGGATTACTGTTTTTTTTTAATCTCATTAGTAGCACGGAGTCTGGAATTGTGCCCAGCCAGTAGGCTGGCAATAGCCATATAGGCAATAGGTTCACCCCCTATTACATGGGACTCATATAAACAGTGAAAAGTGGGTGTTACATTGTACAGTGGCATTAAGTGCCGTAATGTGCACCTCTGCCACCCTTTCGGGGATAAAAAACGTGAAGTTATGTGATGTTATGAGATTTATCTTTAAGACATATTGAGAGAAAGCAAGAAATTATTGCATCAATTTTGCAATAAGTAAAAATGATATCATTTAAAACACCATGACCCTAGGCAGTGATCTACTACCTCATAGCTGATATAATGATGAAACTGCATGAAATGGTACTAACCTACTTGGTTGATAATAGATTTGGGGTTCACCATGGGTTATGTTTAAAATAAGCGATAGGGAATTATCGTTATGGTACACTTCATTATCACGAGTGAGTTGCGATTTTAGTACAAAATGTATCGTCTTGTTCTTTTCTTAATTTTACCATTGGTTAGGTACATACGTATCTCAGTTGTCTACACTGTTGCAGCTGTAGCCAAATGCCATTTAGCGCTTATCTATTCATAGAATAGAAAACCAAATTATATGGAATTGACGTAAATTTTGACACTTGTCAGTGTCATTCCTATACATTTAGTTTTCTACTCTCTCGGTAGACAAGCGCTAAAGTGGCGTTTGGCTAAAGGCACTGTACTATATAGGTCCGTAATTCAAAGTTCAAACACAATGTTGTTTACAGGAAAGTAAGTAAACAAGTTTCGAATTTGTTTACATTCTGACCATAGTCCGTACTTTCCGTCGTCGCCGCCATGGCACTTTATGAATGCCTACAATAACACTGCCCACGCTACAGACTAAGTTCAATGAAATAATAGCTTGGCGAAATTTTCCTTCATGGTACTTACGTTTATGCATCTGAACATAATCTATTATAGAAGTTATGTCGCGGAGAACCTAACGGGTAATCGGGGCTCCGGCTCGACGTGCAGGAGAAGGAACGGGGTGGTTTTTAGTCAGTAAAAGTCTGACACTCCCTCCCGCCTCACCTAGGCGGGAGCAGTCATTCGATGATTTTCCCCCCATAAAAAAAATATAGATGTTATGTATACGTGTTGGTAAGAATGAATGCTGATCACGCCCTTCCCTGGAGAGTCTATGACAAGTGAGTGAGTGCCATGTGATAAGGGACGAGCTTACATCGAGGACCATTACACATTCCATTCTATGAATTTTTAAAAACTCGACCATATGCCGGTAGTGGAACCTTTTTACTCAGCAATATACTACGACAAACGAGGTAGCTGAACCATGGAACAAAATTAGAATGCACATATTGTTACACAAACAATTAAATAAATTCACTATGACATTGTTGTTGATGGTCAAGTATAGGAAAAAACCGATTCGAGTACCTACCTATGGTTGTTAGATATCAGCAAATCGATCAGCTATCGTGACTGATAGTATCTAAAGCGCTATGAATGAAGTCTTCATTGTAGAACGATTGTAACTACGATTGCTCACGTACGTTTTATAGTAGTCGGAACCGCAAAGATGTAGATAGTAGTTTTTTGGCTGAATAAGTTATTAATCGTAACTGAAACGCCAGTGAACGAGCTTTAAAATAGTAGACGAAAATGAATATATAGGTGAGCATGAAGCATAATCTCTAAGATAACGTATCTACCAATGGGTAAGTACCAAGAAATAATTACTACTGGCTAGTTTTTCAGTAATATCAAATCGTTCATCGACAGGCGATGAAAAACAAACACATCGTGCTTTTACTGAAAATTTTATAGTTCTGCAATAATTAGCTCTACTCAATATTCTACACACGTGCGAAATACAGGTTAATGAATTAAGAACATTAAAACTTTAAGATAAGCCTAGTTTTACATGAAATCGCATTTACAATGGCACGTGTCCTTTACTGTTGTCTGATCACGTTGAACCAAACACCGGCGGCATTAGGTACTAACGTGGACTTAACAAGTATAATGTTGGCTACACTGTGGGGCATCTGTTCAAAACAAAATCTACTTTCAAATTAGACTGAGTCTGCTGTTGCTGAATTTATTAATGTTTTGTTTTGTTTACCCACTTTTGATATGGGCGAGGATATATAATACGGACAAACTTGAAACTTTTAATACCGCAAAACGGGGTAAATAGAATTCGATGGATGAATAGATACAGGAATGGGGTGCATAAATATTAGAATATTGTTTCAATATTTATTCACCCCTCTTATGTAGTAAGTATCTATTCAGCCGTCGAATTCTATTAATCTCGTTTTACCTTAGTTATTTTATTGGGTAATGGGTAGTACACATGAGCACTAATAAATTGTGTAGGTACTTACCTACCATTTATTAGTGCTCATGTCTGACTCAGACTGCTAAATCTTATACTTTTATACTATTATATAAAGCGGAAGAGTTTGTTTGTTTGTTTGAACGCGCTAATCTCCGTAACTATAAGTCTGATTTGAATAATTCTTTTTATGTTGGATAGCGCATTCATCGAGGATGGCTATAGGCTATAAAACATCACGCTACGACCAATAGGAGCTGAGCAGAGCGTGTGAAACCGCGCGGAAGTTGCTAGTAAAATAGATAAATAACTATAATCTATTTATTTTCGGACTAAAAAACTAATTAATGGTTCTGAGCACAATTATATGTGTATGGAGTAGGTAGCTGGGAAAATACTGAAGTTGAGAAAATATTTCAAGCTAGTCATAGCTTCAGTAACACAAGGTCGATAAGTAAGCACGTTGAATGTGATAGAACTATAGAGAATGTATTTATATCAGACATTAATTAACACATTTCTTAATAGTACCTAAAGTCACTAGAATATAATAGAAATGTTTAATTTAAGAGCGATTTGCGGAATTCAATGAAAGAGGCCCGTTAAACAGTGAAAAGTTTTCTTGAACTGAATGAAATTAAAGAAAATGTTCACTTCGTTTTTCACACATGTTGCGTATAGTATGTTTTTTTGTAAACGATCGTATTGTTTTAATTATAAAGTTAGTAACGCAATCTTGATTTTATTTAATAAAATCTTTCCCCACTGCATGCCTGAGACAGGAGTCGGTAAAATGTATAAGTAGGTACACTAAAATCATATCAAGTACAAATCAACGCAGTAAGTTTACACTATTTTCTAACCTAGTTATTTTTAGCAAATATACTCAAGCATTGACCTCAATATATTTCCAGACTATCCAATAACTTTCTAGATAAAACAGAACATCGTTGGCGCCATGGTTCCTCGAGGTTTGAACAAGGAAGCCGTATGTGAGTAAATGAAGATCTTACAAAACGCCCACGTTTAAGGTTTGGTACAAACTACAATATAATACTACCTTTTACCCGTGGTTTTGCTCGAATTATTTTTAGGAGTTGAGGGCAGATTTACAAAAACAGTGCTGTACATATTCTTTGTTAGTCACAAATAGTCCGTATACCAATTTTCAGCTTTCTGCCTGCGAAATTCTCCATATTAACTTCCACCCCCCATTTTAGGGAAGATGGAGGTTAGAAAGAGATCAAAAATCTATGTCACACTCCACCTCTTTAAATATCTCCCATTAAAAATCACGCCATTTCGTCGCTCGATTTTACCGTGAAAGACGGACAAACAAACAAACAAACAGACACAAACATTAAAATATTAGTATGGATGTGAAATGTAAACCAATTACAAATTATCAATATTAATAATATAATTGTATGAACTTGATAACATCCGGCTTTACCTAATTAAACTGTTTCAGAGGCCATTGACGTAAATAGTATCTACTTACACCTTCAGATAAATAGGGGTTATGTTATGGATTGTCCACGAGCTATTATTAGATTGTTAATTAATAGTAGATAGGTAATAATTTGATGTGAAACTGACATTACTATTAAGTTCTAGAATAGGCACTGAAAACCACTGCGGTAAATGACGGCAATAGGAATGTACGGTGGCTAATAGGTTAACCCTTAGATATAATAAAGAAATTATATTTTTATAATATTTCTGTGGGATTACCTATACTTTTCTGCCAAATTTCTCTATTGTACCTTTATAGACATAAAGTCGAAAATGTATTGACTAAATTTGACAGATTGGAGTAGATTGATCTGCTGGCCGCTATACATACCTAAAAGGGAAGAAAAGAGAGGTTTGGGACGAACGTATTTACCATATAAATATTAAAAAATCCTTCTTCTTTATTATATCTACGGTATTTACCTATAGTTTATTGTAAGAACTTAACT